CGGCGAGGGCGTCCCGCAGCCACTGGCGCCGCAGCGCGGCCATCTCGGTCACCTCGGCGAATAACTGCTCCGCCTCCACCACGCGCACCTGCAGCGCCACCACCAGCGGCCCGGCCCCGCTGGCGCCCCCCAGTGTCGCCAGCTGGCGTCGCAGGCCACCCACGGGCCCGCGATGCGCCTCCACCTCCCCAGTGAGAGCGCGGTGCTGGCGCGCCAGGCGGCGGCTGGACGCTTCGTCGTGGCCAAAGTCGCCAGCGGCTGCCAGGCGGTACGCGTCGCGAAGCCAGTCCAGGAGCCCGTCGAGCTCAGCGCCGAACTGGTGCAGCGCCCGCGCCTCCTGCAGCCGCCGCTCCCGCCGCTGCGCCGCCTCTTCCAGCCGCTGCCAGCGGCGCCGCGCGCTCGCTGCGCGCTCCGCCAGGCCGGCCAAGTGCACCATCTCGGCGCCCGGGCCCACGGCCCCGCCGGCCGCAGCCAGCTCCTCGCCGCGCCGCAGCGCCTGCTGCAGCAGCGCCCGGCGCCCGCCCAGCTCGCCCTGCAGGATCTTGTGCTGCGCCAGCAGGCGCGCGGTGCTGGACAGGTCGTGCGCGCCGCCCGCCGCGCCGCCGCCCGCGGCCTCCAGGAGGCGCTCCTTGTCGCGCGCCCAGCTCTCGGCCTCCTCCAGCTCCTGCAGCAGCGCCCACAGGCTCCGCGAGGCCTCCAGCTCCGCGCGCCGCCGCGCTGCCTGCTCCTGCAGCTCCGCCAGACAGCCATGCACGTGGTTCACACGGTTGCAGATGACCTGAGGGTCGCAGGGCTGGTAGCCTGGGCCAGAAGTGGGGGATGCCAGGTTGGGCACGGGCCAGCAAGCGCCCAGGAGACGGTGGCGCAGGCTGCCTCCCCTGCCCTTGGTAAGGTGCCCTCCTCCAGGCAGCCTTCCCTGACACACCCGAGGCCGGAGTGGGAACCTCTTCGGGCCCCTCTCAGGCTTCTCTTCTCCCATCCCAGCCCTGACTACTGTGGGGTGTCACAGCCCCTGTGTACCGCTCCCTGGACTGGGTGCTCCATGGGGGCAGGGCCTGGGTCTGTCTGCACACTGCCCAGCCCAGGGTGGAGCCCAGAGCTGTGGCCTGCGTGTGGGAACTTACTGGCTGGGCGACAGGTGGCCTCAGAGCGTCGCAGAGTCTGCATACATGTGTGGCCTGGGTGCCACGTCTCTGCCCTGAGCCGGGTTTTAAAGTACCCACCCTTCCCTGTTGCTTGCTGACCTGAGCTCTCGTCTCTCCTCAAATACTTCACCTTCCTCCTGGACCTCGAGTGTGTGACCAGAGAGCTGTGAAATTCATTTAGTGGGTCACAGCCAGCGCGCACAGCCGGCCGGGGGGATTTCACAGCCACACCGTTACCGGGAGGCAGCAGGACAGAACCAAGCCCACTCCATCACTGCGGCCGGGTGCCAACAAGAGTGAGCACGCAAGCCCCGCAGCCAGACAGACTGATATGGGGCTCAGTGGACTCATCACCCCCGTGTCCTGGCAGCATCCGGTCCTCAGCAAAACACTGCATGCACTCAGCTAGCACAAGCCCAGCTGCTAATCGCGTCCCTCGCCCCGCTCCCCCACGGAGAGGCTCCCAGCTGTGTGCAAACAGCCAACAAAGCCACATGGCCTGGGGACCACAGGGAGCCTCCCGGAGGGCACAGCCAGCAGTAACCAGGAACTCCGCGGTGCCAGTTGTGCCTTTGCCCACCAGCGTCCGTGTTCTGCTTTCAGTTCGGGCACTCTCTTTCCTACTCCCTGTCCGGGGAGGGGGCTGGCCCCACTCCTAGTCTTGAGGTGGGCACATCACACAGATGTGGCCAATCAGCTCATTGCACACCCTGGGGCCGTGCCAACTGGCTGAGCATTGGATGCTTGTCAGAGGTACTGAGAGAATGGAGCCTGTCTCCAGCCGGGTCCGCTGAACTGCTGGGATGTAACGGGGCTGTCTGACCCCAGATTTACACAAGAGGAGGAGCTGCCCGACAGTGACACAGAGACCAGAGGTGGAGAGAGACAGAGTCCTAGAAACATCGCTGAGCCAGGCCTGGCTGCAACCCTGCCTGAAGCCAAACCCAGCCCTCCCTGGATGTTCCTGTTACATAAGCCAATACGTCCCCCTTTCCTTCCTAAGCCGACTGAGTTGAGTTTCCACCAGTTGGTGCGGGACAGGGCCTGCCTATCCGTGACTTCACACTGTTTTTGATGAAAATCACTAAGGGGGGGTGGGGGGCAGAACCCTGCCCCCAGAGGGGAGTGGTCTGCCTCTTCCTGGCTGAGACCTGGAGCCAGCGGCTCAGCCCCTCCCATCACGCCTCTGCTTGCCCATGAGATACACAGAACTCAGCCCAGACGCTAACTGGCAGCCCGGGTCAGGCCAGGTTGTTAGCGCTGGGCCCACGCCTGCTCCCTTCCTTCTCCTTGGGACAATTCTCTGGGCGGGGACTTTTAGCAGCACCCGCAGGCTTAGCTGCAGGCCTCACAAGATTCACCACCAGGACACAGCTAAGAGAGTGCAGAGGACAGAACGCCTCCAGCACTGGGTTCCCACAGGCTACACGGTAAACACTAACCTGGATCAACCTTAAGAGTTACGAAATGCAAACATGATCGGGTGTTTAAAGACCTGGCTCTCTGCTATGGCCTGGGAAAGCAGTAGAAGATGGCCCAAGTCCTTGAACCCCTGCACCCGCATGGGAGACCCAGAAGAAGCTCCTGGCTCCTGGCTTTGGATCACAACTCCAGCCGTTGCAGCCATTTGGGGAGTGAACCAACAGATGGAAGACCTGTCTCTACCTCTCTCTGTAACTCTTTCAAATAAATAAAATAAATCTTTAAAAAAAGAAAAAAGAAAAGAAAATCACTGAGGTCAACAAGTACGCCACTTAAAGCGAGTGATCACTGCAGAATTCCAAAGCAGGAACCAGCCGTGCGTCCTGGCCTCCTCCTCCCGACACTCATGCCCCCAGGGCTCCCCATAAGGAGCATGATCCTAGCTCTGCTTAGACGCCCCCAACACAGGGATCTCAGCCCTTGCTTCTGCCTCTGCTAGCGCCGGCCCCGAGGGTCTCCAGCCCGACTCACCCTGCAGCTGGGAGAAACGCAGGGCAGCAGCATTGAGGGCCTCCACCCGCTCGCTCTGGGCCGTGATGTCTCCCTCCAGCAGCCCGTGCTTCTGCAGCAGGTCCTCCGCCTCCACCAGGTGCTGCCCACACTCCCGGGACAGCAGCTGTGCCTGCAGGGGCGGGGAAGGGGAGCACTGCGCATACCTCTGGCGCTGGCCCTCAGACCGCCCGCCTCTTCCCGGCTGTCCCTTGCTCTGCGCCATCACTCTCAGCTCTGAGCTGTCTCCTGGGCTCTGCCCTCCCCCACCTCCATCACCCCCAATTTCTGTCTCTGCCCCTATGCGTCTGTATCTTTCTCTCTGGTCCCACCATTTCTGTCTCCATTTCTGCATGCATTTACTATTCCCTAGTAAGCCTCTCTCTGCACCACAGATTTCTACTGGCAGCCTCAAGGTTGCCCTTCTAGATTCTTCTCTCTCGCTCCTTCTCTCTCTCTCTCTCTCTTTCTCTCTCTCTCATCATCACTATCTTCCTCTGGCTTAATTTCACTGTCTCTGCCCCAGCTCTTGTGCTATCTTTGTGTCTCTCT